GAGGGGCCCGGTGTGAGCACCGCGGCCTGCCTTGCTGTGCCAAGGCCATTGGAGGCCCTGTGGCAGGAGGCAGGCCTGCCCTCGGTAAGCCCTTGGTTTGTGTCGGGAGCCCCGGTCTGGGGGTGCGGGAGGGGGCGGGGGAGAAACTGCCCCTATGGTTGGAGGGCCCGTCCCATCCGTCCGTAGGAGGATGCCAGCCCCAGCTCCCCGGGAGCCGCAGGCCGGGGAGGACGCCGGCCCTGCCCGAGAGAGCTCCTAGCCCTCGGGGAGCCGGGGCTTGGGGCTGGGGGTCGCTTCATAGCAGAGTCCTATTTTTGGAGTGAACACAGGCGCGGTCTTCACGGCAGGGTGGTGGCTGGCATGGACCTGGGTCCTGGGCTCACGGCCTCCTTGCAAGAACACGGGATTGGTCCTGGCCTCCTTTTCCCAGCCCTGCTGTCTGCGAGCAGAAAGCCCAGACCCCAGAGGGCAGGTTGCAGGGGAACCAGGGTGCTCCTGTTTGAGAGAACCGAGTGGGGCAGCCTTCAGGGGTCCTCAGAGACCAGCGGGTCTCCACCCCAACGCTCAGAGAGGGCAGTGCCCTTGTCCAGGGCCACACAGCAAGCTAGTGGCAGAGGGAAAGCCAGTACCCAAGGCTCCCAATTCCCAGCCAGGGTTCTTGCCTGGGTCGCTGAAGCCCTGGATGAAGCGGCCGACGCCGAGGTCTGCGGGGTCTGGGGAGGTGGCGGTGGAGGCTGTGTTTGGGAAGAGTTGGCAGCCGCGCTGGGCAGGAAAGGATTTCTTCCTCGGGGGTCCGCCTGCCATTTCTATAACAGCCACCAGGTGGCGTCAACCCCTTGCTTATCTCACCATCTGGCCCTGGCTGGAGCGAGCCTGAAGACAGGCTCTCCTCCGCTAATAAATACTTTCTCACACTTTCTTTGTGAATCTGAAATGAAATTAAACACAGCATACCTATACAATATGCTACCACACTGTACTGTAGAGGAGAAATGAAGGGTAAGTACTACGAGTTTCAACATGTAAATGCTTGGGCACAACCACATGGCAGATACGACAGTCCCATGTTTGCTTCTGCTTTTAATGAACACATTTGGATTTCAGAGAAGTAAGAGGGCCAGAAGCCATTGTGTACATGAAGCGCAGGAAAGTTAAAGATGTTGAGATAAAAACTAACAGTGTATAACAGAACCATGCAAAAAAAAAAAAATCCCCAACCTTAATGGTTTACATGTAAAACAGGTTTTCACTATGTAAATGTCCAGGGGGACATTCTAAAGTCATGTATGACAGTTCTTGAGTGTGGGAGAACCTCGAGGCATTCGTAGTCCCTGCTCACCAAACGCCAGCAGGGCCCCCCCTCGCATGGGTAGTGGTCCCTGCATTTACAAAGTGCCCCCCTTGGGGCAGCACCTTTGCTGTTGGAACCGTCCGGGGCCTGAGGCTGCCCACCATGGTTCACAGCGCATGCTGAAGGGCAGAGCGTCTGAGCCACAGCATGGTGACATTTCATGCCCAGAAATCCCTCTTCCTTGGCCTCCGCCCGCTGGAAGCTGGTTGCACCTTCCGCCTAGCTGTGACTACCAAATATGTCTGCAGACTTTGTCACATGGCCCCCAGTTGAGACGCTCTGGTGTGCAGCCTGGTCATCCAGGGCTGACGTGTGCTTTGCGCGGCTCCAGGCCCCATCCTCCACGGGGAGACTGACCCAAGGACGGTGACTGGGAGACTCCCTGGGGATGGCGGTGATGGGGTCCTGCTTGGGCACAGAGGAGCTCAGGGAAGAGGAATTGAACCAGGCCTAGGCCATGGCGAGGAAGACTTCCTGGAAGAGGCGCCCCCTCCCAGCTGAAGTTCTAGGGGGAAAGTAAGCCAGGCGGGATGCAGAAGCGATCAATAGCATCGCATGATCAAAAACTGTCTCCAGCTCTTTATTCTAACCATTTTCAGTTGTTGGTTGGCGTGTGGAAGAGGAGAGGAGAGGTAGAGGTTGTGACAGGTCCGGTCAAGGCCAGTGGGGGAGCTGGACCTGATCCTGAGGCCGTGGGAGGGAAGGGTCTCACGCCAGCCACGGAGGTGTTTGGGCTGGCATTGCAGGGGCAGCAGCGGGGGCTGTGGGAGTGCTCTGGGCCATCGGTGACAGGGCTGGCCCTGGGCAGCCTCTGGAGGGCTGGAGAAGAGGGGCCAAGAGCGGGGAATGCAGAGGTGGTCGAACGGGCGGATGGGGGAGTTGACGGGATGGGGAAGGCAGGTCGAGGACCGCCTGCGGCAACAGCGGTGCAGCCGGCAGGGGTGGGTGAAGACCCCAGCCACAGAGAGGAGAGCTAAGAAAGTTGAGGTTGCATTTGGGGTGCTAGTTACCCCCACCTTCCCTGTCCCTCACTCCACTCCAGCCACACTGGCATCCTTGCTGGCCTCAAGCACCCCCGGCATATTCCGGAGCCTCGGGGCCTTTGCGCTTGCCACTCCTTCCAACTGAAATGTCTTCCTGAAGACAGCTTCCTGGCTAGGCCCTGCGACACTGTGTTACGTGTCACTGATCAAGGAAGTCACTCTCTCCCCCCTTACTCTTATCTCGGCCTGGTGGTATATTCTGTATTTATTATCTGCCTTCCCCACCAGAATGTAAGCTTCATGAGGGCAGGTTCCATTCACCACTGTAGGCCAACATCTGGATCTGCTCTGTTCAATGAGCCGCACAAGCCGCACGCGGCAACTGAGTCTTGGCATGTAGCTGGTCCAACCTGAGATGTGCTCCAAGTGCAAAATACACACAAGATCTCAGAGACTACACAAAGGAAATAAGACATGTCCTTAATTTTTTTAAATTGATGATGTGCTGAAATTTATGGACAGGTTGGCTTAAAGAAAATACATTGCTAAATTAATTTCACCTGTTTCCTTTTACTTTTGAAAAAATTTTATTTATTTTTAGAGAGAGAGGAAGTGAGGGAAAAGAAGGGGGAGAGTAACATCAATTGCACGCCCCCCACAGGGGACCTGGCCCACAACCCAGGCACATGCCCTGACTGGGAATCAAACCAGAAACCTTTCAGTTCGCAGGCCGGCGCTCAGTCCACTGAGCCCCACCAGCCAGGGCTCCTTTTACTTGTCAATGTGGCTCTGGAAAACTTGAAATTACACACGTGGCTCACTCCCTATTTCTATCGAACAGTGCTGTTCTCGAACACTGCCTGGCATATAGTAAGTGCTCAATAAATATTTGTAGAATGGTACATCTGGAAAACAGCTGGGCATTCTCAGCTGTTTTTGGGTGGGGGGGTCCAGGCTGCAGACACAGAACTGTCATCAGAGAGAGCGTGACCTGTGCTGTGGGGGCGGATAAGCACTCGGCCCAGGGATGTTCAGTTCCTCCTCCAATACAAACTTACTCAGCACCTCCATGGGCCAGCGAGGAGGTGCCCACGGTGCCGCCAGAAGATGTGCTCTGCCCGGGGAAGCACAGGTGGCTGGTCTGGGGTGGGGAAGCTCAGGGAAGGCGTCTGTGTTCTCTTCAAGTGAGACCCAGAGGCAGGCAGGCATTAGCTCGGCTGGAGAAGGCAGCTGCAGGGAGGGAGGGGCTGCTCCAGGCTGAGGAACACACTGGAAGCAAACCGGTCGCCCTGCTAGTCAGGAAAAGAAGCTTCGGTAGGGATTGGAGCTCGCAACCCTAGGAAGCCAGACAACGGGCTGGAAGCCTGAGAAGCAGGGCCTGTGCAGCTGCGCATATGCTTGGGGGCGGGGTGCGGGGTGGGGGGCTGGCAGGGACTGCAGGGCAGGGCTTCAGAAGCTTCCTTCAGGGGCTGGACTGATTGAGGATGGGGGAGCCCGCAGGGCAGGAGCAGGGGCCATGGAGAAAGCTCCCTTAGGCTGCTGTGCAAGCAGCCGCCCAGGCGGGAGGACCGAGGAAGAGGAGGCACGAAGGGCCAGGGTGCAGGAGAAGCTGAGGGGAGCGGCACACGGCAGCCCGCTGAGCAGGGTCTGAGGAAGCCCAGGCCGAGGCCAGGTGGTGGCCCCTGGATGTCACGGAGGTCCTGGCTGATCCCACGGACAGTGGCTCCACGGGGGCGGCAAAGGAGAAAGGCCAAAGGGGGCAGAGGAGGGACGGGGGGGCGGCGGGAGGGGGACCGGAGGCGGACACAGCTTGTATTCCCCCAGGAGGGAAGGGCGCGGCGGCTGCAGAAGGCAGGGCCCGGAGCGAGTCTGGGGGAGGTTTCTTCTGGGCGTGGAAGGGACTTCGCGCTGCTGGTGGGCCGGGAAAACGCAGCAGGTGAGGAGGGTGAAGCTAGATGCCGAGTCTCGCCCTCTGCCCGCTGCGCAGCACTCCCACCCCCCGCCGCCTCGTGAGCAGGGAGGGCCTGGCCCTGCCCGCGTCGGAGCGGCAGCCGTGGGTGGCGCCCACACGCCCTGCGGACGGACGGAGGCCTGCCCTGCCCTGCCCTCCCTTCCTGTGTGGGCTCCGTCTGGAGCGGAGACCTTCCTGGGATGCGCGTGCAGGTAGGCAGGGGGCCGCCGTGGCTGCCGCCGGCGCTGGCCCGGGCCACCCACATGCATGTCAGAGATCCCCACACACAGAGCTCCCACAGGCACGCGCGCCCACAGAGGGCGTGTGTGGGACGCCGCTGTCACAGTTGGCTTGTCCTCAGTAAAGCGTCCAGGCCCTTGCAACCTGAACTGCACTCTCCCCTCTGCTCTGCTCTCGCCCGACCACTTTCTCTGCCTCCCTCCACCCCCCTGCCCGCCTGCCTCCTTCCTTCCCACCTGGGTCACGGCATGTGCACCCGCCGTAGTTTCTTCCGTGCCCCAGGGACGCGGGGGCGCGCGAGGGGAGTGCGACCGACGGCGGTGGCGCCGCGGGCCCGCCCCGCCTGCCCGGCCTGCCTTCTGCTCCGGCGGCGCCCTGGGAACGGACCAGCAGGAGCCACTGCTCGCGCGCTCCTGCGGCGAGGGCTGCGGCGGCGGGGCCGGGCCTCCGACCTCACCCTCCGCCCGAGGCGGCTCTAGATGGCCAGGCCCTGGCGGGCCGAGGCCAGCGACACAGCGCTGCGGCCGCTGCCACCCTCGCTGTCCCCGGCCGGGGCGCGGTGCGCATAGGCGGGCGGGGCGTAGGGGTCGGGCCCGGGCCGCCTGGCGGGCAGGGCTGGCGGCGGGGGCGGCGGCGGCGGCGGCGGGGGGAGCAGCAGCTTCTGGGCCTCCTCGCGCGCCGCGTTGCAGCCGTTGTCGCGCTCGGCCGTTTGGCGCGGGCGGCCCTTCCAGAGCAGGTGGCTGAGCTCGGCCACGCTGAGCACCGCCGAGAGCAGCCCCACGACGAAGTAGAAGACCACGAAGACGGTCTTCTCGGTGGGCCGGCTCACGAAGCAGTCCACGGTGTGCGGGCACGGCGGGCCGCTGCACGCGAAGTGCGGGGCCACGCGGAAGCCGTAGAGGCGCCACTGGCAGGCCAGGAAGGCCGCCTCGAGCAGCAGGCGCCCGACCACGCTGGCCAGGTAGCAGCAGCGCGTGCGGCCGGCGCGCGGGGCGCGGGCCGCGTCCTTGCTGGCCTGGTGCATGGAGTAGATGACGAAGAGCACCGACGGCGCCGAGAGCAGCAGGATGTGGAAGAGCCAGAAGCGGTAGTGTGAGATGGGGAAGGCGCGGTCGTAGCAGGTCTGGCGGCAGCCCGGCTGCAGCGTGTTGCACACGAACTCCTCCTGCTCGTCCTCGAACACCGCGCCGCCCACGGAGGCCAGCACCAGGATGCGGAAAATCAGCATGACCACCAGCCACAGGCGGCCCACCAGCGGCGACTGCAGCTGCACGGCGTCCAGCAGCGAGCCCAGGAACGCCCACTCCCCCATGGCGCTGGGGGCGAAGGGGGCGCGTCAGGGGCCGGCAGGCAGGGCCCCCACCCGTCCCCGTCCCCCGGGCTGGGGAACGGAAGATCCCCTCTAACTTCAGGGCGAGTCGGGCATCAGCCAGGTCTGGCAGGTATTTTGTGGGAACAAAGGAGCAGAGTTGGAGGCAAGAGGGGCCTAGGTGGTTCTCCCCGGTGGGTGCCGTGTCCCTGGGGCCGATGGGTGCTGGGGCGGAGCCTAGCCCTGGGGCCGTAGCCTGACACCCAGGGGCCTGTCGGTCGGACGCCTGTGCTCCTCCGGAGCCTAGACTCTTAGGAGGAGAATTTGGGGATCAGCGGCCGCCCCTGACTGCCGTCCTAGAAGCAGAAGCCAGCTGCGCCCCATGTACCCTCTTCCCTGTCGGGAGTGGCGCTTCCAGACCCAATTTGGTGCCCCCGGGTCGGGCAAGAGCCACGCAGACCCAGAGGGACACCGCCTCTAGCTTTCTCTGCCTTTGTTACTGCACTGAGTTTCTCTCTGAATTGTGGGGCGACACAAAAGTAGCCCCAGTTCTATAGCTCTATCAGGACCCTTTGTCCTGGGTGTCCCCTGCCCTCCGACCCAAGCAAGGCAGGAACACGGCCCAGACCTCTCCCATCTGCTCCCAGCCGCCCCATGGCTTCCAGTCTCCCAGCCTCCTGAGAGCCTCCCCAACACACGGACCCGGGCCTCGCCGGCTCCTGAGGCCCCGAGACCCTGGTGACCCCACTCACCTTGTGGCTGGAGCTGAGGTGTTAGAGTTGAGCGTGGGATCTTGGGAGATGGCTGGGACCTGCTCCTTCTGGTCCCTCTTTCATTTTCCCTTTCAGATTTGGCCGGGATGGATGACAGGACAGGATAGCGAGAGGGGCTAGCTCTCCCCCCTCTCTTAAAGGGACAGGGTGACCCTGCTGGCTGGGTCAACCCTTGGGAACAGACACAGGGCCACGCCCCTGACTGGCCTCTGCCAGCCCTTCCTTTTCCTCCCTCACCCACCCCCACCCCATCCCCATCCCACAGCTGTGTCTCTGTCTGGAGACGGGGGAGGGGTTAACCAGAGCTGCACCCCTTATTGAGGGAACCTCCTAGAAGCCAGTGCCCCGACAGACTCCCCCACACTAGAAGGTCTGGACCCTCTCTGAACGCACCACCCCCTTTGGAGGAGGTCTTCCGGGCTGGGGGGAGGTTTGGGGCAGGGTTGGGGGCACCGGTGTCTTCAGAAGTGGCAGACACCTCAGGGCCCTGGTTCCAGCGCTGCTGCTGGCCTTGGACAAGTCACCGGGCTCTTCTGGGCCAGAGTCTCCCAGCTTGTCAGCCGCGGTGGCGGGGCCAGCCCACCCCTGTTTCCTCTCAGTTCCCCATCGTAATGGGGAGATCCCAGCCGTGTTACAAAGAACAGAAAAACACATGCCCAGAACACTCCACAGAGAAAAACATTTAGGGACCAAGAGTGGCTGGCTTTGGTAGTTAAATAAAAGCTTTTACTTCCTGCTTTCTGTAATTCCCAGACTTACTATAATGAGCATGTCATTTTATAGTGTGGAAAATAGAGAGAAAGGCTTATTTCTCCCACAAGCCTCTGAACTGGATCACCTCCTATGGTTCTAGGTGGCCGGAGAAGCTGTCCCATGGAATGACCCATGGTGACCTGAGCATCCAGGGAGGGGACACTCTGCTTTTCTAGGAGTTTGCTCAACCCGCACACCATTCCCCGCCCTCACGGATGCACCTACTCTGGGCCAGGCCCTGGGCAAGCTCATCACACAAGTTACAGGACTTGGCACCCTTGGTAGGAGGGAAGCTGAGCCTCAAAGGGCCATTTGCCCCCAATCACACAGCCAGGGAAGAGCAGGTCTCAGCCTCATACCTGACCCTACAGGTTCTTAGTTCATGCTCTTAAGCCCGTCATGGAACTGTCTCCCGTCCGGCCTGGCTGGCCTTCCCAGGTGGAGCCCCAGGGTGCTGGCTGGGCTGCCGGGTACAGAGCCGGCAGGCGGGCCACGCCTACCCCTTCCTGAGTGGGGAGGGTGCCAGGACTCACCTGCTCAGTGCCATTTCTGCTCCACTTCAGCCATGGGGGCCCGTGTAGTTTTCCATGCAGACAGGGACCCCGGGCCTGGTCTCAGGAAGGCGTGGGAGGTGTGCCCTCCATCCACGCTGGCCCAGGGGCCCAGCCCAGCCCGGAAAAACCCCCGGTCAACTCTCCTCACCTTTGTGTAGTGTTCCCCTGGGAGCAGGCCTGGGTGGGGAGATGCTGCCCTGGATGAAGTCCAGTGGAAACCACACGCTGGGGCCCCACACCCCCAAAACAGGAAGGGGGTGGGGACGCTGCAGGCCTCCCCAGCCCGGACGCCCTCCTGCTCCTGGCAAAGCTGCTTTCCACCCCCCGACCTCCATCCATGGCCATGGGGGCTCAGGGACACACCGCATTGCCCCGACTGTCCAGGAACGGTCCCTGCCCTGTCCCCCTGTTCCCTGCTGGGCCAGGCCACTGGCTCAGGCTGGAAAAACCCCGTCAGCCCTGCCTACCTGCAGGGAGTGGAAAGCGGCGGGGTGGCGGGCTAGGGTGGGGCGGGAGGTGGGGAGCCCGTGGTTACCTGGCAGTGTCCCAGCCCCTGATGCCACAGGGCCAGACACAGGAGACTCGACAATCTCGGGGGCCCGTCCTCCTTCCCAGATAGCACTGTCCAGTCCGGGAGGAGGTGTCACTGATGCTGACCAGGGCTGGCGGCACGTGGCTCCTTTCTCGGCCGCACTGGAGGCCTGGGGCGGGGCTGAGGGGCCCGTCCTGCCCTGGTGCACGTTCGGTCTCTGTCCCACACGCTCGGCCCTACCCCGCCCCGTCTGGCTGACTGAGGAGCCACTTCCCACGTCTGTCACACACAGATGGACACACATGCAGGCACATAATTGTTGGCACCCAGTGAGTGACATCATCAAGACACAACTGCGTTTCCCCTTTCCTGTGTCCCTCTAACATTCTTAGGTCTTTATAGAAACGTTGCCTGTTAGTGAGGCCACCCTAACTGGAATTTTACCCCCTACTTCCTATCCCTTTTCTCAGCTTTATTTCCTTTGCGCTGGTCACTACGTAACATACTTTTTCTTGTTTATCCCGTGTAGCGTCCATCTCTCCTATTGACATGTAAGGTCCATGGCGGCAGGGGTGTTTGGTGCCTGATTCACCGTCCTGTCTCCAGCACCCAGAACAGTTCCTGGCATGTAGTAGACGCTCAATAAATGCTTTGCCGGGAGGATGAATGACCGAAGTGGGGTGGGTGCAGATCTTCCCTGCCTCAGGAGGATGAGAACGCCAGGGGGTCCCGTGCCTCAGTTGCTTATTCTGGTGTCGTCTAGCGCTTGGGATCCCTGAAGTGATTCTCCTGTTCCCAGCTCAGCCTGCACCTGGAAGGCGAGGGTGAGGGTGGCTGTAGGTGTGGTTGATTCTGCTTGGTGACTTTAGTCCTCTGCAGCCCCTCCCCCACCTGGCCGCACCGTTTCTGACCCTTCAAACGCTTCCCCAAGCCCGCAGACCCTCCAGACCTGACCCTTCTGCTCGCTGGTCGCCCCTGCTCCTCTCACTCTTCCTGGACCCTCCGCCTTAACTGGGACCGGCCTGGCGGTCAGGCCTTCTTCCTCCCTCCCTGGGCTCCGTTCAAGACTAGGCTCAGCTGTAACAGCAAAAATATAAAATACTAAACAAAGAAGCAAGGCTCTGTCTTGTGTGAAATCCCAGGAAGCTACTCCATGACCGACCTTCTCGCATACCATTGGCCAAGGTCACCTTCCACAGGGAAGGCTGGGAAATGTAGTCTTTATTCTAGGTGACCTTGCCCCCAAGAAGGAAGAATCTTTTCTTCGTTGTCGCAGATGTTTCTGGTACTGGCCCTTCACACTGACTGAGGAGCCAGAGAAACCCAGTTCTCCCCTACGTCGGCCCCCACCGGCTACTCCCGTGTAGTCTCTCCCCTGGGAAGAGGGAAGCCTTCACAGTCTTGCTTGTCATCTTGTCCCCAGGCCCTCCCAACCCACTGCCCCTCTGGGCCTTCCTTCATGTGTCTCTGTCAGGTCTCATCCCCTCTTTCTTGCTTTTGAGCAGAGCAGTCACTACTGCCAACTGGAGGCCCCATTTCACCCCTTTCTAGGTTGTACATGGAGCAACTTGGCCCAGAAAGGACACTAACTGGACTGGCGGTGGCTGGGACCTGAGGGTGGGCTCATCTGAGTGGCCGAGGGGCTTGGGAGGCCCTCTCTTCCTTCCCTTGCCCGCCCAGAGTGAAATGATGGGTGAGAGAAACTGCTTGGAGATGGGGCGGCGGGGGGGGGGGCGCGGGAAGGGTATGGATCTGAGTTATCAAGAGGCATCTTTCAAAGTCCCTTTCCCCTCCTGAATGGCCCCTGTTTGTAAGTGCCAGCTGGTACGAGCATCCACAGTCACTTCCTGCCGCGTTGGGTCCTCGACCTTCTCTCTATCACCCCAGGGGCAGAAGTGGGATCAGAGGAACTCAGGATCAGTTGAAGGGCATACCAAAGTAACTGCCCCCGGAAAGCAATAGTCTTGGGTCCTAAGGATTGCCCTTGGCCAGGCCCTGGAAGGTCACGGAAAGTTACTAGAGGCAGAAGACACAGTCACCTGTGGATTGGGCTTCCTTTCTTCCTGCCAAAGTCACATTTACTGGTACATTTTTCTGTGCGTCCATCAGAAGGTATTGGGCCACCTTGAGGCCAATGAAGATACTGTCTTACTCAGAAGAAACAAATCTGACTCCAGAAAGGGCTGAGGACAAAGGTAAGGGGAATGTAAAATGATACAACTGTTTTGAAAAAGTTTGGCAGATTCTTAGAAAGGTAAGCATATGCTTAGCAAATAACCCAACAATTGAGGTATTTACAATGTTGAAGTATTTACCCAAGAGAAGTGAGAAAATATGTCTGTAAAAAAACATTTGCACACTAATGTTCCTAACAGCTTTATCTATAATAGG